AATTCCTATGGGAGCTCATAGGCATAGGAATGAAATTATTTCTAGCTATTTTGGAATAGGACATATGGTGTGGTGGTGAGACACAATAATTCTGTGACACCAACTGGGTGTCCTGTAATTCAGTTCAATTCTGACACTACCCAGATTTAGCAGAGACCCACAGGTTAAGGGCAGAGTCCTCCATAAGACTGCTAGACTTCAGTAAAAGTTACAACCCAGAAACAGCCAAATGGAAACAATTCATAGACCAAGGTCTAGGGGTGGGGCGGGGTGCCGTGGGGGCTGGGGGAGGAGGATAGACATAGAGCTTCTGTGCCCTCTTTTCATGGAATCTGGGCACATCAGCCTCCTAGCACATCCACATGTTCACCAACCTGAAAGTGCCACTGAGTTTTGTTGTCCAGACGTTTTATTTGGGTTACCTTACATAGGCATCATGATTGGCCATGTGATTAAACTCCTCCAGCTCTCCTCTCTTCCCTGGAGAACTGGTGAGCCCACATTTCCAACTTTTTAATCATGTGGTTGGTCTTTCTGGTGAACAGTTCCCATCCTAAGGCTACCTAGGGACCACCTTGATTCACCTCATTACCATAAAAAAGGCACTCTTGTCACTCAGGAATTCCAAGAGTGTTTGAAACTCTGTTAGGAACTAGTGACAAAGACCAGATATAGTCTTTATTATACCACAGATCATCAAATGAGATATCAAGGAGAAAGTGGCATTTGTGTGATATCTTGAAAGCTGGGTAGGATTTAAACATTGGAAGATGGAGAAAAGGGAATTCCAGCCTGAGAAATCACACAGGGGCACATACTCCAAAGGGCAGAGTTCAGTGTTTAGAAATATATTAAGTACTTTTTTAGCTTTAGTTTCAAATCTATAAAAAACAATAATAATATAAAGCCAGATGGAGCGCTTAAATGAACGATAATAAATGATATTTATTAATCGTAGAGCCTTTTATTTTTACAGAGCAGAAGAAAGAAGAGATCTGTTTATGTTTTTCCGAAGCCTACACTTCTTTGTGGAATGGTGTGAATATCGTAAGCGCACATTTAAACGTTTCAAGGTAGAGTCTAAAGTCTTTCAATTTAAACGTATATGGAAAGTGAAGCTGATGTTAATTTGGGGGTTTAAGATAACATTCTTAAAGCTTTCAAACAATAGAAAATGTTTTTATTGGCTTCTAGATTTGCTGTTATTTGGAATAAATGAAGGAGGAATGCTTCTGTACAAGTCAGTTAACCATTTATATTGAAAGAATATAGTCATATATATATATAATATATTTATTTTACAGTACACATTTTGAAAAATTAATCTGTCAAGGACACTTGAAGTAAAATGCCAAATGCTAATAAAGGACATAGGCATAGCAGCCTTGTAACGTCACAGTGTAATCTTTACTTCCTGAGCCACACTCTGTATTTTGAGCTTCTTATTTATTGTATATTTCAAGTTTAAATATTGAAGTCTGATTCTTGTAAAGTAATGCTTCTTAGGTCTGATACATATACATTCAGAGACTTTTTTTTAAATCCCTTTGTTTTCTGTCATAACTAGAACTATATTTGGCTGCATTGTAATCCCCCAGGTCCTACTTAGTTAGATAGTATCAAATTATTGACAGCAGTGATGCACACAGAAACCAGTTCTGAAAGAGTTAACATAAATAATATCTCAAGGTTCAGGTTCCCTCAAAATCCTGAGTCCTGACTATTGTTTTTATGACTGGTACTAATTCTCATTTATTTTGGATTCTTTTTTTTTTTATCATCATCATCATTATTTGCATTCTATTTGGTTGAGCTAGTAATATCTGTCAAGCATAAGATTTTCTTTAGAATGAAACATGTCAGTACCTGTACTGTACCTGTACTGTGGTCCCTTGAGGAGTGCTCAGGATTATGTTGTTTACTTGCAGGTGCTCTTGCACCAGGACAATTAAATAGCTCTTCTTCAGAATTGGTAAAATACAATAATGATTGAGGAGTCTGCTGGCAGTTATGGTAATGAATCACCTAATATGGCCATTTCCTTATACATTAGAATGGGTTGTGGGAAATGTGAGCACTAGTCCCATTTTCAAACTGATTTTCCTCTAGGTGCTTTTAAGGCAAGTGTAGAAGTATAATTGGTGTGTTTTTCCTGTAGAGGATAAAGTGCTTCTTTGAGCTGGTCCTTTGCTGGTGACAAGGTTACTAGAATGGAAGGAAACATCACATTGTTGTGCAACCATCACCAGTAAAAATCTGTCCCATTAAACACTAATTTGCCATTCCTTCATTCTCTCAATAGTGTCCTTTGATGCATAGAAGTTTTTAATTTTGATGAAGTCCAATTTCTTTTCTTTTCTTTTGTAGCCTGTGCTTTTGGTGTCATATCCAGGAAATCATTGCCAAATTCAACATCATAAAGAATTTTCTTTTTATTTTTTCCTGAGAGTTTTATAGTTTAGCTCTTAAGTTTAGGTGTTTAATCCAGTTTGAGTTAATTTTTAAATATTCTGTAAGCCAGCAGTCCAACTTCATTCTTATACATGTGGATATCCAGTTTTCCTAGCATCGCTTGCTGAAGAGACTGTCCTTTCCTCATTGAGTGGTCTTGACACCTTTGTCAAAAATCATTTGACTATATATGCAAAGGTTTGTTTCTGGATTCATTATTCTATTCCATTGGTCTGTACGTCTGTCCTTATGGCAGTATCACACTTTTGTTTACTGTAGCTTTATAGTTACATTTTGAAATGAGGAAGTGTGAATCCTCCAGTTTTGTTCTTCCTTTCAAATTTCTTTTTGGTGTTTGGAGTCCCTTGAGATTCCATATGAATTTTGGTGGGTTTTTCCAGTTCTTCAAAAAATGTCGTTGGGAGTTTGATAGGGATTGCTTTTGAAACCACTAGGTGGCGTTTCGGGGGCGTTCCAAGGAGCTCCAGTCCTTTATGTCTCATTGTGGAAAGAATTCAGCAAGAGACAAAGTGATAGATAAGAAGTGATTTATTAGAATAGGATGCTTGTGAGGCTTAAAAGCAGGTGGGCTAGGGGGTGATGCGCCCTGAGAACTTAGTTGGCTACAGTTTTATAATCAAAGGAAAAGTGGGGAGGAGGAAAAGACCACCTTCTTCCTCATTCTTGAGTAGATATCACGCTTCCATCATCAACTCCTCCTCTAGGTTGGACAGGGGAGTTTTCTTGTCCCTACGTGGTCAAACCAGGACTGTCATGGCACTGTGGAAATATTATTTCAGGTCTCCATACAATGAGGGTCTTTCACTTTGAGATGTCACCTTTCCGTAAATTATTGTTTTTTATGTGTGCAGAGAGCATGTCCTAGGGGTCATTAACTTACTGAGCTCACTGGTCAGGATGTGGGTCTCATGCCACCATTGTTTATTGTTTGGGGGCATGTCTCATGTTTCTGTTGCAGGGTTTTGTTGCTAAGCAGGCATGCTTGGCTTTGTGGTTAAGCAAACCTGCTTTCTTGAGCGATCATTAACTTACAGGGGTCTCCCATACTTTTCCTTACTTATAATCCCCTAGTGGGATTAACTATTTAATCACCTGCTTTGTCCCTTTACTCTGTTCCTATCATTTTGAAGTTGTTTTGGGTAGTGCTGACATATTAACTATTCAGTCTTCCATTCTTGAACACAAGATGTCTTCCCATTTATGCATATCTTCTTTAGTTTCTTTCAGGAATGTTTGTAGGGGTAAAATATTTTTAATTTTAATCCTCTGTTTCATTATCAGTGTCAAGAATGAAGCAATATCTATTTAAGATAATGGGGATCAGCATATATTTTACTTCATTATTTTATTTGTGACTTAAAGGTATATATAAGGTTGTCGGGTACCTAGGTTCATATCTTTTTATCTAGAAGTCTCAAAACTATTTTTTAAGATAATTCCATAATTCAGACTTTTAAACCAGTGCTCTTTCCTAATTGCTATTTTATATAAACCACTGGCTTTTAAATTCTCTAAAATTTGAGAGTTGTTTTATGGTGCTTTTCCCCTTTAAGTTTAGTAATATAAAGAACATAGGAATACATTATTATTCTGACATCTGGAAATGGGAAGAAAGTACTGACCCCTTTCCCCAGTGTTGGTTCCACCACTCAGCAATCCTTTATTAAGTTTGTTTTTCCAGATAAAGTTACAGTTTATTTCTGTTGATTTATTCAAGATTATGGTAGTTTATTCTATTTTTCCAAATAAAACAGAGCCCTTCTGTTTAAATGGATTTTATTTTGCACTATTTACTATATATTCAATTTAGATGTGCACACTATTATGCTAGCACTTTGAATGTATAAAGGGAATATTAGATGTGTTCAGTGTGCTCAGTGAGCTTTCTCAGTCACAGAGAAATGAGGCTCGCACACAAAATGAGAAAGCCGTATAATAGTTATTGTTGCCAGTTACCACAATAAAATCAGTGAACGCGTTAGTGTTGTAGCAGTAATTATTGTGGTGTTAAGACATCACAGGTGTTTTAGTGAAAAAATTTCATTTTGGGGTCAACCTTGACAAATGGGAAAATTGAAAAACAGGTCATTCTACGTATGGAAAAAACAGAAGCAAATGAAAAACCACCAATAGTGTTTGTTCTGGGAGTATATACAGAGACCAACTTGATTCTAATGCATAATTTATGTTGGAAACAATGTCGGCAATTTTTATATACACATTTCAGACTCTTGTTTCTAAAGCACTGATCATTTTATATGCAACCCCAAAGCAGTGTGGAGACTAAGACTTTTGAGTGGGGTTTGCGCAAGAGGAAAGTAATTTTAGGAACTTTATCATCACTATTAGATTGAAGATGAATTCTCATCTTTAAACATACCAGTTAATCATGGGTCTCTAGAAAATGTTGCTGAGATGCTTTCTTGTGAATGTGAAGTCTATTCTCAAGAACATGGATGTGTATGGGTGGGTGGGAAGGTGGTGTGTAGTAGTAACACCACAGAATTCACCTTGTTTTCATGTCTTACATTTGGATAAATTTATTGATGAGATTCTCATTCCTATAGTATAAAAAGAAAATATTTTGCAGTATATATCATAATTGAAAGCCTTTACAGTGGAGAATTTTATGGCTATGTTCTGAGAAACAGGATGGACTTTCAGGTTTTTTTATAAGCATACTGATTTTGATGTGCTTGGCTTCCTAAAATGTTTTATGGTGGACTTAGAATGTTAATATTTAGATTAAAGAAAATTTTGTACTATTTTACTAAAGCCTTTAATTGTGTGATCACAAAGCAGAATAACTGAACATTACTATATTAGCTCTTTATCAGAGAGTAAAATTATGCTTTATTTGGAAAGTTTTGCCTAGGTATGAGACTATATTCCTATTTCTGAGGCTAAGTAAAAATATAGTAGCTGCCTTAATAGAAAGAAAACAGAGTTCCTACTTCATAATGAATAATGTATGAATGATAAAAGAAAAGTGAGAGGTCCCTGGAAATATTTAGCTTTTCAAAGTGTTTGGAACATATGCCTTAAATGCTTTAGGGATCCGGTAGAAGCCAGGAAAGACAAACAGTTGAAAGTTTCTTGGACTTATCCTTTCACTTCGTAATACATCTTAAATTTGGGTATTTATATAAAAACATACCTTTTAAATGGTACTCCAGTATAAACTGCAGGGATTTTGTAATGCTGTTCAAATATTTTCACATTACTTTGTTTTGAACTTAAAGATTCACTCTTACTTTTTGCTCGTTGTTATATGTAAGGTTTTTTGAACATCCTTGCTTAAAACATAAGTTCCTTCATAGTAGGATACAAAATTAATATTAAATACTTAAGCTCCTTTAGACATTGTTGAGACAGATTATAAGTATGTGTGTACTTTAGCTTATGTGCTGCATTGATAGTGGTTAAATGTATGACCCTACAGGCAATCTTTTTAAGCAGATAAAACTGTTGGGATGTTTTCCCAGGATGATGGGATTGCCCTCCAAGCGTATCTCTTCAATGCGGTCCCGAATATAACTGGTGTCATTAGCCTTGCAGAATGTATCATCTGTAATTGAAGTTATGTTGTTAAACTAGAAAATAAAAGGGAAAAATGGTTTAGAAACCCGAAATCATCCTTTTGTATTTTGTGTAATGATATCTCACAGAATATTTTATCTAAAAAGTGATTTTTAAAATATTGTACATACTGTGTATATATCTTCATGGTAATAAAAACCCTTGCTGAGCAATCTGAGCCTCCCTTTTTAAAGTCTACAGTATTACTTTGGAAGAACAGACTACTGGCTATTTCTAAGAGCAAAACCCATATAACAAATTTCTGAGTATAAATAAGATTATAATAGCTGGATAAAGTATCCTATTCTAGAGTGTCAACTCAAAATGGGTACTGTTTCCTTAAATATATTTTAAAGAAATAAAAAGAAAAAATGGGAATTCTTGTGATGGTAAAAGACCACTTTTAGTTTATTTTTATTCCCTTTTCACTTTTCTATTACCCTAAGTTGATGTTGGACAATAAAGTCAGCTGGGAAGTCTCCAAAAGCAAGTGTTTACTGCTATTTTGAGAAGGAAACATAAACCACAGGTCTAAGTGTCCCCTAACTTCAAATCCACATGTCAGATTAACTAGGAGATGCCAAGTGCACACCTGGAGACAAATCCTACTATAAGAGCAGACCTCTCACCTAGTGTTACTGGTCCTTTCGTTGTGCTCTGGATAGAACCAGGGCTTCTGGGCAGGAGAGAACATTTGGCTAAATATTAATACTTTTGATGGGCAAAATTTACGTGTAAATAAGTGAGCTTCCTAATGAATCGTAAGATTGACCCATAATAATTTGAATTAAAGTCAGATAATGTGAAAGGAGCAATCATACCTGAAGATGAATTACACGCAGACTTTCTGGTAAATTAAGAGGCACAGATTCCAGGGCATTGTGGTCCAAGTAGAGGAAGGAGAGGTTATTCAATTTCTGTAAGGAAAAGGTGCTTTTGCTTAAGTGTTACTGAGCTCATTGCATTTCTTCACGTGATTCAAGCTATATACACACATATATGTATAAATACATAGATATAGATATAGACACATATCAATACTATTAATCATTGGTATGGTAGTTTTAGGTTTGGTGGGATTTTTTTTGTTTGCTTTGTTGTTGTTGTTTGGTGCTTTTGGTTTTACAAGTAGTATATTTGGTCCTTCACGAAGGGCAGTAGAGTCCTGATGCATCCCCACATTTCTGTCCCCTCATCTCACTTCTGAATACCATCATATTCAGCCTCAGCCCTCATGCCAATTTCTGGGGCCCTTTAAATTTCTCTTGGGAGCAGGTAATAAGGTTAATTCTTATGCAGGATTATATTTGCATCTGGTACTGCCATAACCTCTCTTGAACCTTCACAACTTTCCATTTCAGCTCCACCAATTTGTAGTAAAATGAATATTCCTAAGAGATGTGTATGCTTGTTAGTAAGATGTCTCCCAAAGCAGTTTATTAAATACGTAGCCAAGTATGACTTTTTTACACCCCAAGGACTCTACATTGGATTACTCTTCATGATCAGTAATCCATTATTGTGTATAATTTTATAATATGATCTCAAGATGTAGTTTCCCTTGACAATAATCTTTTACCTTACCTTTGATATGCATCCTGTGACAGAATTTGGTAATTTTTTTTTTTTTTAGAATTAATTTGCTGTTATTTTAATCCTTTCTTTCTTTGTTTTTTTTTTTTTTTTGCGGTACGCGGGCCTCTCACTGCTGTGGCCTCTCCCATTGCGGAGCACAGGCTCCGGACGCACAGGCTCAGTGGCCATGACTCACGGGCCCAGCTGCTCCACGGCACGTGGTATCCTCCCGGACCGGGGCACGAACCCGTGTCCCCTGCATCGGCAGGCGGATTCTCAACCACTGCGCCACCAGGGAAGCCCTAATCCTTTCTTAAGCATCCTATAATTCACCATATGGGCACCAAGCTCCTGTCTTTCCCAGTGGGCCTCTTTAACATGGATTAGAGTAACCTGATTTTACCAGTGGCTTTGGCAGCTTAGGGCATTAAGCAAAACTAGAAAATAGCTGAGTTTATCATTTTCATGCCAACTTGTCATGAATCCCTTCTGTAATCCACGTGTAAAATCCGAAATATTCAAACATTCCTTTTGTGAAATGTTGATTAGCTCCTGTAGGTCTTTTTTGTTTGTTTTGTTTTGTTTTATAAATTTATTTATTTTTGGCTGCATTGGGTCTTCGTTGCTGTGCTTGGTCTTCCTCTAGTTGCAGCAAGCAGGGGCTACTCTTCATTGCAGTGTGTGGGCTTCTCATTGTGGTGGCTTTTCTTCTAGAGCACGGGCTCTAGATGCACGGGCTTCAGCAGTTGTGGCTCACTGGCTCTAGAATGCAAGCTCAGTAGTTGTGGCGCTTGGGCTTAGTTGCTCCACAGCATGTGGGACCTTCCCGGACCAGGGTTCAAACCCGTGTCCCCTGTGTTGGCAGATGAACTCTAACCACTGCGCCACCCGGGAAGTCCCTACTCCTGTAGGTCTTTAACATGTCAGTTATTCAAAGGTTTACCTGCTCAAATTGCATATCTTCAAATTACAAACATTTTTTTGTTTTTAAAATGAGTCCAGTTTTTAAAAGTCCCCTAAGAGTCCCTTAACTTCTGAGGAACTGCTAGGAGTTGTCCCAAGGAGCTACAAACCTTCCTTTTCGTTTTTTTTGTTTGTTTGTTTGTTTTTTGGCGGTACGCGGGCCTCTCACTGTTGTGGCCTCTCCCGTTGCGGAGCACAGGCTCCGGACGCGCAGGGTCAGCGGCCATGGCTCACAGGCCCAGCCACTCCACGGCATGTGGGATCTTCCCGGACCGGGGCACGAACCCGTGTCCCCTGCATCAGCAGGCGGACTCTCAACCACTGCGCCACCAGGGAAGCCCCAAACCTTCCTTTTGAATGAGGTCTTCTGTTGCCAACAGTAGCGTGATTGTCTCATCCTTTTATCTGGGGTTTCTTCCAGGACTGGGAATGAGTACATAGAGCTATGGAAGTCCTGGGCTGAGGTTACTTCCCTGTAGGCTCTGCATTTTGAGACAACCTGGCTATCTAAATCAGAGGAAATCACCTTGCCCTTTTCATGTGCATTTATTTTCTTGTATTACTAAATTAAGGAATATGTGTAATTTTTACTACATACAGAATTTTGTATTAGGTGCCATCATGGAATTCAAAAGAATGTCTACCTACAGAAGTGTATGGTGTAATACTTTTAAGTATTAAAAATAAAATTCAGTGTTTACTTTAGAATATGATTTTTTCTGGTGTTTGTAAATTACTAATATTGTAAGGAAAAAAGAAACACAGGAACACTCCCATTTTGAGGTTTTGCAGACTGTTGGTGCCACGAGGGTGCAAACCTTGTCTGTGTAAATAAATATTGCTGTGTGAACAAGGGAAAAAGATGTGACACCAGGTAGTCCCATGAAACAAGATAAAGGTATTTTAAGTGAGGTACAGGCATAAGCTAGACTGAATAAGCCTAGTAATATCACTATTTATCATGTAAATAATATCTTCATTTATCACATTAAAATAGTTTTAAAACAAAATTCTAGACCATAGTTTCTTTTTCTTTTATCATGTAATTATTGGCTGTATAACCGATATTTTTATATTGTGCTCAGTCATACTATAAAATACTTACTTTGAAAGTATTTGCTTTGATTCCTCTACTCTTGATTTTGTTGTATTTTGCATTAAATAAAGTAAGCTTGGGAGGGAGAACTGGAAGTTTCAGTAGTTGATTTTCAGCTAGTGTAAGTTCTTCTAACAGTGAAAGTTTTGAAAAAGTACCGTCTTCTATATCTTCAATCAAATTTCCCGTAAAATCAAGTCGCCTTAAGTTAGCTTGAAGGAAAAATATACAAAAAATAAGAAATTTTTAAAAAATATATGAAGTTAAATTCTTAATTGTCTGGACTGAGGAAAAGCATTTGTTTATCAGGTCATTCAAACGTCTTTTATTTTTAGTGCCTAGCAGAGTGTCTACAATTAGTAGCTCAGTAAGTTTTGTTGAACACTGAGCATCTACTCTGTGCTTGATTGACACTGATGGTCTTTCTCACTGAAGTTCTAAAACCTCAGGTTTGGAAGGGAACTTAAAGTTAATAGAGTCCTTCCATCCTTTTTTGTTTGAATTCTCAGTATGCTCAAGTAGTTTGAAAGAAACTTTTTGTTGCAAATTATGGAAAGTAAGCATTACATCTGATTGAATAAAATCATGTAAATATTTTTGGATTTTTTGCCAGCCTGTTATATTGTGACTGAGGATATCTTAATCTCTCCATGCCTTATTGCTTGACAACAATAAAGGCAAAAATGTTCCCTAATTTGTTACCGTGGTGCATACTGAGAGACAGAGAAATTCAATGTGTGTATTTATGTGTGCATCACTTTTGTCCATCTGGGATGATTAGAAAATATGGTCCCTTCTCACTATTCAAGGTGGTCATGTCTATAAAGTCAGTGTAAATGCTGAATTAGTGAATATGGAACCATTGCTCCTAGGGAATATACAGGGTTAGAGCCTCTCATCACACATTTTCATCAACCAATCAGTGGAAAATTTTATGTGTGTTTCTTTTTAAAGGCATCTTACTTAGTATATATTGTTTATACATTAACATTGAACTCACAGCCAATCAACGCTGTAACTCACACTTAAATAAAGATTACCTAACATGTGTTTTCTCTGTAAGGCACATCACAGCCTTCTTGCAGTTAGGAACACTAGACAGCATTTTAGCACTATACTTAGGGAGCATTTTAAACAGCAAAAAGCACAAAAATGTGAAAAATGTGGCACTAAGTAGACTGTAAAGAGGATACTTGTTTACAGTATAAAAGCTGAAACAAAAGGCCAAGCATCTCATTCAGCCTATCCTGGATGGCTCAAATTTTTTGCCACTGTGCACATGTCTACGAATGACCATGAAAGTGCCAGAAGTATTGATGTTTTGGGTTACAAATAAATTTTATCAAGTAGGTGAGTTTGAAAACATGGAATCCACAAAAGAGGAACAACTGTATTCAGTCAGTTGGGAGCTACTGCTGACAGCATGAATTTAGTTATGGCTATTCTTGTAAATGTGTAGCGCGGCCAGTGTGCATTTCTTGATGTGACTTTCTTCAGAAGCCCTTGACGTGGGGCCAGTTGCATTTCATGATGTGACTTTCTTCAGAAGCCCTTGACAGCATTGGAATCTAGAAAATTTATGAGGGATTAGTGATCCAGACTTGGACTTCATACTGCAGAAGTAGGGGATTTGGGTGTGCTCATGGCAACACTCTCCTGGCAGCTGTTGTAAGCTTTGATTGGACACCAGAAGTCCAGGATTTTTAATGACCTGGGAAGGAGTTAAATGGCACTGCTCTCAGCATTAATTCTGTATTAGAGTCATCTGAAGAGTTTGGTTGTGGTTAATGACAACACCTGGGCCTCTAAATTTAGAGACCTATATTAGAATCTCTGGGGACTAGGACCTGGTATCAAAAATACTTTAATATGCAGCCAGATTTAAGAACCGTGAGTTAAAGTAAGAAAAAGCAGTTTCTGTGTTTTTACAGTGAAAGTAGAAAATAAAACATTGTCATTGGAGAAATATCCTGATTATATTTGTATTGCTGACTGGCTGAGGCAAATGGATCTTGAAATATTGGGGTTGAGAAGATATAGTTGCCCATATGTTAGATGGGCTGTCAACATAGACTCCATAGTCACCAGTAAAGAAAGATGACAGGGAACATCTGAATGGAAAGGAGATTTCATGTGAAGTGTGGTGGATACTTAAAATACCTCAACAGTCACTACCGTACACGTGATAGGCCACAGGTACCTAGAAACTTGTGTTTATATGAGTTAAATACTAACATGAGTTAACACTAATATCTTATTTAAAATTAACTTACGTATGTCTGCAAAATCTTTGGCAGTCAACTTTTTAATTTTGTTGAATCGTGCATAAAGATAGGCTGATTCCTTTGGCAAGGGTGGTACAGCATCAATGTCAACTTCTTCACAGTATACAGAGCCACTTAAACAAACACATAGCAGGCATGTGGGCATTTCTAAATTGGGAAACAAAAATCATAAAAATCAGTAGTTTAAAAATATTTGACCTCTAGTGTTAAAATTCTTGCTATCATTTATGTTATTACCAATTTGAAAAGATCCTTTACAGAATTATGGGTGATAACAGGAAAGACGTTATGGCCATGATAGCTAGTAATCGATATTGTATCTGATAACTCACCAGAATTTTATTTTAAATTCTGTAATCCACAATCTCTTTTATTCTCCTATCTGTTTTAGCAGTGATCATTTAATTGCTGAATTGATTGACAGTTACATTTCTTCATTGGAGTATCAAAAATCATAAAGCAGGACTTAAGGTAAATATAAGCTTGATTTATCACTTGGAGTGGTGCAAACACATTTCTAATGAGTTTAGAAACCACTTAGTTAAATAAGCAAACTATTAACTTAAAAATTGGAGTCATCATGGGTACTGTTAGAATCCCTATTGTACCCTATGTCATTCATTGCATTTACTTGTCATGCATCTTTCATCTCCTTCAACCTGCAACAGTTCCTTAGTCTTTGTTTTTCATACCTTTTACTGTTTTGGAAATTTTTGAATTTTTTAAAACTTTTATTTTCAGGGCATTTATTTTGCAGAATATCTTTCAATTAGGATTTATATGAGGTTCCTCATTTTTTGGCAGGAATACCATGGAAATAATGTTACATCCTTAGTGTTATGTATCTGTCTCATTCCTTATGATGCTGTCTTTGGTCGCTTGGTTCAGTTAGTATCTGCCATGGTTCTCACTCTGTGAAATTACTGTTTTTCACTTTGTAATTTGTACCTTCTAGAGGAGCACTTTGAGATTCTAAACATCAGGTTTGTCATCAAACTTTCACCCTCTAGTTTTATCATCTGTTGAAGATTCTTACTTGAATCATTTATCACTAGAATAATTGCCAATTATTTTCTAATTCCATCATTTCTTCTATATTTGTTAGTTGGCATTCTGATATAAGGTGGAACATTCCCTTCTTATTTGTTTATTTCTGTCAGTATGAACTTATGAATTCCTCATCCCATGGATAACGTATCCCATAATACGTTACTGTCTTATTTATTTTGATAATCACATTGTCACAGATTAGTCAGTGAGAACTCTTAAGCTCTGTTTATCCTCCCACAGCCTTTTTATGGTTCCATGATATACAGTAAGTTGCACATATTTAATTTGTATAATTTCTAAGTTTGGACATGTGTATATGCCCATGAAACCATCACCACAATCAAGATAATTAACATATCCATCACTCCAAAAGTTTCCTCATGCCCTTTGGTAATTTCTCCCTCCCAGCAACCACTAATCTCCTTTCTGTCATTATATGTTAGTTTGCATTTTTGAAACTTTTATATCAAAAGAATCATGCAGTATACACTCTTTTGTCTGGCTTCTTTCACTCTGCATAATTATTTCTCAAAATAATTTTGTATGTATCAGTAATTCATTCCTATTTATTACTGAGTTCATTCCAATTTATTCCATTGTCTCAATAAACACCATTTATACTGTCATCTCTTACGGACATTTGGGTTGTTTCCAGTTTTTGGCTATTTCAAAGAAAGCTGCCATGAACATTTATGTATGGACTTAATGTTTTCATTTTTCTTGGATAGATACCTAAGAGTAGAATGGCTGGGTCTTATTATACGTATGTATTTTACCTTTTGAAGAATGTCCTAAAGTGTTTTCCAAAGTGGTTGTGCCATTTTACATTCTCATTAGCAGAGTGTGAAAGTTCCAGTTGCTCCACACTCTTGTCAACATTTGGTATGTATGGTTGGACTTTTTTATGTTAGCCTTTCAAGTAAGGTTTGTTGTGGTATCGCGTGTTTTAATTTACATTTTCCTAATGACTAATGTGCTAAGCATCTTTTTATATACTTATTTGCCATCCACATATTTTTTTGTGGTGAAGTGTCTATTCATATCTTTTGCCTGTTTTTTTAAATAGGTTTTTGTATTATTATTTTTGAATTATAAAAGTATATTCTGTAGATATAAATCATTTGTCAGATTTATGTTTTGCAAATATTTTCCTCCAGTCTGTGGCTTGTCTTTTTATTTCCTTATCAATGTCTTTTGAAGAGCAAACATTTGGGGCCTTCCCCAGCAGTCCAGTGGTTAAGACTCCACGCTTCCACTGCAGGGGGTGCATGTTCCATCCCTGGTTGGGGAACTAAGATTCCACATGCCGCATGGTGAGGCCAGAAAAAAAAAAAAGAAAAGCAAACATTTTTTATTCTAATGAATAACAGTTGATCCCTTTATATTGTCTGGATTTCAATGAGCAGGTCTTGTACATCTTTTACACATTTATACCTATGTATTTTTTATATTTTGATTAATTTAAAAAATTAAATGTCCCCACTGTTTTTTGAGAACTTACTTATTTTCTGGCATGCTAAGATATCCCAGACCAATCTTGCCCTTTCCTTGCCCCAGGCCTGAAATCAGCTATTATTTTAAGGAGTACTGGTCCCTTTTAGTGGAGGATGGTATTTAGAAACCAACATTTGGGTGTGGATGTGCTCATTGCTACTGGGATCTCATTGCTTCTGGGCTTTTTCAGCAAAGGGGCCTGGGAAATATATGTATTTTTATTTGGCGCTCTCTTCATATATAATACACATACATACACACAAGTATATGTATATGGACATGGACATAATACACAAGTACACACATGCAGACATACATATATACATGTATATAATATGTGTCATGCTCATACGAAAACATAAGCACATCATATGCATATTTTCACATACACACTCATACAGGGAGGCAAACATGTATATATCTATTTCTGTATCTCTGTATACAAACCAGGAGTTGATCCTGATATCTTTCATTCCACTCCATCTCAACAGTGTTCATTTTAGCCTTCCCCCTTACCATATTTGTAACACCCTTCTCTGACAATGAGAAACCTGGCTCTTGTGATCCACTGTGCATTTACTTTACTCAGTCCCAGAACACACATTAAGTAGTTTCATTATTGCTAACCTATAATACTATGGAAAACAAACCTACCCACTAGAATTTTAGTATTTGCCTATTTTATTTTGTCTTTAGCCTGAAAGTATACAGTCAAAATACTGTGTTTAAGGATTACTTCGATTAGATTTTTCCCCCTGTAGTGTGTTATGTTATTGATTTGAAATGCAATTAAGTTTCTATTTTTCTGTTTGTTTGCCAGTTTGGGTTCTTTTTATCTTATCCTAGTTGGTTTTATTTATAAATGTATTTGTTTGTTTGCTTATTTGAATATAGCATTATTCTAAAATCAAATCTACACAACAAGTGTATACTCCAAGAAGTTCTAGAACCTTCCCCTAGTACCCCTAGTTACCATCTCCCCCTCCTTTCTACCCCTAGTCCCATCTGTAACCCATAGGTAACTAGTCTCAGTTTTTTAGTTACCCTTCTTGAATTTCTTTTCACAAAGTGGGCTGATGTATGTATATTCTCTTACATCCCCTTCATTCTTTTTTTTTTTTTTTTTTTTGCGGTACGCGGGCCTCTCACTGTTGTGGCCTCTCCCGTTGTGGAGCACAGGCTCCGGATGCGCAGGCCCAGCGGCCATGGATCACAGGCCCAGCCGCTCTGCGGCATGTGGGATCTTCCCGGACCAGGGCACGAACCCGTGTCCCCTGCATCGGCAGGCAGACTCTCAACCACTGCGCCACCAGGGAAGCCCCCCTTCATTCTTAGGTGAAAGACAGCATACTGTAGATACTCTATTGCATTTTTTTTTCACATAATCTCTTCTGAAAATCACTCCATATTAGTTATAGAGATCATCCTCATTCACTTTTACAACTGCATAGTATTCCCCTGGGTGGATGTACCATACTTTATTCAACCACTCTTCAATGTATGGATAATTAGATTGTTTCCAATATTTTGCAGATGCAACCAATGCTTCAGAGATTTTGCATATGTGTTTTCTTACTTTTGGAGGTATATCTTTAGGGTGAATTCCTAGAAGTCAATTGCTGTGTCACAAAGTAAATGCGTATTAGGTTTCGTTAGACATTACCAAATTCCTGTCCATTCTACCAGTTTGTATTGCCACCAGCAACGTATGTCAGTGTCTGATACCCTACAGTTTTTCCAATGGAATATATTAATATATTTGTCAGATAGGTTAAAAAATTTTATCTCAGCATAATTTAAACTTACATGTGAGATTGAACATCTTTTATGTGTTTAAGCGTCATTTTTATATCATTTTGTGAATTGTCTGTTCATATCTTTTGTCCATTTTTCCAGTGGATTTTTGATCAGTTTCTTTTTCCTGGATTTTTACTTGTTCTTTAGAAATTAGAGATATTAACTCTTTATCAGTGATATATATTACAAATATTTTTCTCAGTTTTCAATTGCCTTTGGCTTCGTTTATGATGGTTTTTGCCATGGAGATGTTTCATTTATGGAGTCAAATTTATTGATCTTTTCTATTATCGTCTCTGGAGTTTGAGATACCCCACACCCAGGTTATCTTCTACTATTTGTATGGTTTCACTTTTTGCATTTAGACCCTAATTTATTTGGAGTTTTTCTGTGTAAGATAGGGATCTAATTGTATCCCTTGTCAGTTGACTACTTAGTTGTCCCAGCCCCAGTTTTTTAAAATATCATCTTTGCTTCAGTGATTAAAGATGTTACCTTTATTATTTACTAAATTTCTACATGTATTTCTTTTTGTCTGTGGACTTTCGTTCATGCACCAGTATTACACTTATTTTAAGTATGCAGGCTTTAAAGCATGTTCTGATAGGTGATTTCATGCAGGTTTGATTTTCCTTCTGAACTTGAAGATCAGCCTTACCAGCTCTTTAAAGAAGTTCATTGTTGTAAATTTAGGGAGCACTGACATCTTTGTGATATTAAATCATCCTACTCAAGAGCAAAGAATGTCTTTCCATTTCTTCAAGTCTACTTTCACTATGATACTTCTCAAATTTCTTAAGATATATTTTCTGGTTTTGTCCTTTTTTTTTTTTTTTTTTTTGCGGTACGCAGGCCTTTCACTGTTGTGGCCTCTTCCGTTGCGGAGCACAGGCTCCGGACACGCAGGCTCAGCGGCCATGGCTCACTGGCCCAGCCGCTCCGCGGCATGTGAGATCTTCCTGGACCAGGGCACGAACCCGTGTCCCCTGCATTGGCAGGTGGACTCTCAACCACTGCGCCACCAGGGAAGCCTTGGTTTTGTCCATTTTAATTTTATTGTAGCAATATAGAAATCAGTGTGTGATTTTTTTTTTCATATTGTCATGTGAAGTAATGTTCTGTGATAGAGCAAGAATAAACCAAATAGAAACTAATAAGTAGGACTTTGTAATTTGTTATTTTATAAGTTTTCTATTGTTTTAATTGAAATGTACATTATAATTATTTATGTATATAACTATGTCTCTCTTCTGTGAGTTTCTTAAAGGCAAGAATTATATTTTATTTACTTTATCCTCAGGCTACATAGTATTTGAAAATAATTGGTGTTTAACAAGTATTTCTTGAACTGATTTTATATAGACAGAAGCACACACTTTGTAGAGGCTAAACGTAGACTAAACTTTGTTCTTGAATGTTCCTATTCCACATTTCTCACTCATAATGTGGAATGGCAAATGATGAAAACGCACAATATACCTGTTTGACTTTATCATTAGAGATAAAATTCCACTGTTTGGATCTACTATATCCTGATGCAATTTTTGATTACTATAAGGAATAAAGTTCCATTATAAGCTATTTTTTAAAGCTCCTTTAAAAAAATTTGATGCTAGAGTATTCATACTTACCATCATTTTCTTTCTTGGGGGATAATGGTTTTATACTCTCATCTTTTTGTAATTGAAAACCTTTCTCATCGGATATTATTATCATAGTTTCTTTTTCCTATTGAAAAAATAAACATTTATTATCAGGTGTGACAAGGACCAATTTGGACGGTAAAACTGAGGGATTACAGACAACATTCTCCCGTAAGTGTTCTGGTTGAACAGCCTCTCCCCTTTCCATTTGTCTATTAAATGTCGTTGAATTCTACTCCACAAATATCTTGGTCCCTGCATTTATATTAAGATAGAGAGAATCCTAAAGCAATGTAAAGAGAAGAAGCAGAGAACTTTTTATTTACTACTTTTTAGGGGCCAGTAGATTTTTGAAAGTATTCTTTAAACTGATTGATAGATTCAAATCAGCCATGTGAGCCAACAACTTGTTGTTATAGTGGGCCTTTTTTTTCCCTAAGCTATAACTATATATGTATACCTATATTATATATATGTGATAATAATAATAATAGCATATTAACCAACTCCATTGAAAGAAATTGTACAGTTAACATTTGCTCATCTGTACTAAAAAAAGAAAGAAGCAATTAAAACTGTTCACTCTTAAAATCTTTGTCATCTTATTTATAGTGGAGAACTTTTGAAGCAATCAACATTGTTATATATTTGGCTGCTTTGCTCATTTTCCATTTGTGTGTGTGTGTGTGTGTGTGTGTGTGTGTGAGAGAGAGAGAGAGAGAGAGAGAGAGAGAGAGACACATACAGACACACGGTAGGCAGGCAACAGATACTTATGTGCTGTATTAACTTTTTCCTTTCCCAGTGTTCATTTCTGTGTGCCAGTAAAACCACAAGTAATTACTTAGCCCCCGTACAAGTAGAATATGAAGATGTGGTGTGAAAGTCATCCCTGTAGACAATGACAGTTACCGTTACTTGGTAAAGTGATGGAGTCTGAATTGTTAAAACCGATTAAAAATTAAGCTATATTAAGTAGTTTTCAGTTTTTGACATATGTGAATTATTGTGAAATGCTGTAGATACAAAATAAGCAGCACTCTTTATTTCCTTGAACCACTTCTTCCTAAAACAATAAACCTTAAGCTGGTGATTCATTTTTATTTCTCCTAATACACATTTCTCCTATTTTATTTTAATATGCATATATAGGACATTATGTAATATTACTTAACATATAAATCTCAACTGGTCAGAGATCCTCTCAAAGTTTAATTTTCCTTAAATTTTATGTTTTAAATTTTAGTTTTCCTTAAATCTTATGTTTTGGTTGCTATAGATACTGTTTGGTTATTATGGATTCTATGTATTAATTTGGGAAGCATGCATACTTTAAAAATATCATCTTAGGACAGTTATTTTGAATTATTTTGAAGCATTTAATGTGCTTTTCCTTTCCTCTTACCTTATCAGACACATTCAGAAAAAACAAAAACATACATTTAAATGGGCGACCATTTTAGAAATTAAATTTAGAGTAGAAATAAAATACCTTAATACTTTTTCCATCCAGGGATTTATCCTCATAATCTCGGCTAAATAAGCTTTCTTCAAAATTGTCTGTTCCATAATCATAGATAATGCGTGAATCCTGCTGAGATGGTGGTGCTGGCTTTATCAGAGGCACAAACAGGAACAGGAGAAGTGTAGATTTCAGAGTCTTCATTTTAGCAAAAATGAAAGTGACTGGAAGTTAATAAGCTAGTGGCCTGCTGACTGTGGGACAATACTCTCTTTTACCCTGGAAATAAAAACGCAGACCATTGAAGCAATATTTAAAAGCTTAGAAGACTTTTTGGCAGGGTATACGCAGTAGGGACCAGAGAACAAGTATTTAACCCTTAGTGATCTTTAATTAGATGCTAAAAGTTTTTATGTATCAGCCACATTCTGAAAAATAGTTTCAGAAAATGGTTTTAGTTCCTTTTATATCAAAAATCCAAGCAATGTTGATAATTTCAGTTTTTTAATAATTAGGTGCCTTGAACAAAGGTACTTGTTTGTAATTGAAGTCTTCTTAGGATACCTGTAATATAAACAGTTAAAATGAAGTCCCATGATCCTGTCTCATGTGAGTTAAAAAATATCATATTTCAACTTTGCTCCTTTATACGAACTCTTGATTTGTATTGGTATGAGCAGAAGCAAGTTCCAGGAACAGTTTTATAATTAAATTTTAAATTTAACATTATGAAAAGTAGTCATTAACACTTTTTTAGGTGGTACAGAATATGGGAAAAGCCATAATTTAAATTTTGTTAGTTTTATAATTTTTATAGATATCATTTCTTTTAGTTAATAGCATTTCTTTTAAAATTTAAACCATGAAAAATGCAAAAATAGTATTGCAGACTAGAAAAAATATAGAACTTTAATCAAAGATTTAGAGGGAATGAAATGGGAAAGATTTTTAGGCTCACCGCTGGATTTTATCTGGTGGTGCACATTTTACACTTTTTCATAAGTAACTTCAGACAGAATCACTCATAGTTGCTGGTGCTGCATTGTAGATACCAGTTTGTCAAAAATCAATGGTTGAAAATTAAGAATAACATGGTTTTGTGACTTTTGCAGCACCTTGTTCTTGCCTGCGTGGACATTAAAGTTATGCAATGATATACTTAAGTGCTTGTTAAAAAATAATTGTTCAAAGTAACTGAAACATAAAAAAATTAAAGATGGCCTTTACATTTACTAAGATTGTTAGGTGTCACATTTTAACAAACGATATTTAAAATAATATGTGAAAAAAGAGCCTACCGTTGTAGCTGTTTTGAAGTTTTTTGTGGCTTTCCTCAGTAGATGGTCATGGCTTGCATTAGCCCCAAGTGGGCGGGTGAATGAGAAAAGCTGTGGATTGATTTCAAACTGCTGAATAGAATTTCAGGGCCCAACAGCTTTCAAAGCAGTTTCCATGTGGTAGAGATCTTTGCCAACATTCTTTCTCTAGGGTGAAATGTAGTGTGTTGTACTAGAGAACTGTGCTTAAAGTATTTGTAACTGCTGTACTCAGATTGCTTCTACTGTTTACCATAATTTTGTTATTTTTACCTTGTGTAATAAATACTCATGTTTTTGTGAATATTAGTTTATGAAGATGACATAGTTTAAAAATCATTCTTTTCATTTTAGTGCTTTCCCAGTAGACAAAACATCTGCTTTTTGAATGAAATAAAACACCAAACTAAAGCATAATCTATGCTCTTAATTTTATGAAGAGTAAAAGTGTTGTTCTAGTACTTTAATTAGTATATAGCCAAAAAGTTTCCGGTGTAGAAATTAGTTTTAGCACAAATTATTTTTTAGTTTAGTCATTTGAGGTCCCTCTCCCCCTTTATATTGTTACATATAACAAAAACTCAAGTGTCAGAATTAGCTTTTTAAAAATAAATTTTATTTATAATTTGGGGTTTGATAGTAAAATATATTTTTGTTTGCTAAATGAAGGAAGCTGTTTTAATTATTTTAATATTAAATTTGATTTTTTTTAAGTTGAAGTGGGATTTAGATAACTATGTGAACATCTTTAAAGATTTGTTTTAATTTTATCACTCTTTGGTACTTTTAGCAGTCAAGGTAATATTTCTTTCTCCTCTATGCTAAAAATTCAATAAATATGGATATGGATAAATACTTTATTAAAAAGTAGAAAATGAAAGAATACTAATTTTTTCTCTTTTCTATTCAAAATTGGCTTTAGAGTTTTTCGAATTAAAGCTTGGATAAACTAAGACTTGAATACTCATGTTTTTATTTGAATGTGAATTATTTTAAATTTAGTTGTGATATTCTCTGGTTTTGGTTGATATAAATTGTCAATTTTATGGCTTTAAAGTCTTTGAAAATATCTAATAATGAAACAGCAGATATTGATTTGTTTTCTGTTGTGTGGCAGGTTTAATGGGATGTTGAGAAATGAGCTGGATAGATGTTAAATAGATTTAGAGAATCTTAGAGATTCATAGTTTACTAATGGTATACACAGTTTGACACTTTGTAGTAATGAATATTATTTTGTGGATATAACATTTTTTTTCTTGAAAAATTATGACCAGTAAATATAGTTTTATTGGCATTCATTCATTTAGTAGAAGTTTATTGAGTGCCACTTCTCTGCCAGTACTACAGAAAAATAAACTCAGACAAGCAAAGTTCATTTTCTCCCCTCAAAAAGGAAGGGTTTGTAAGTTAGCAAGAAGGGCAACAAACAAGCGACAGAATGCACAGTGAGAGACCTGCTACAGAGAAATGTGCACAGAGTTCTGCAGTGGCCTGGGAAAGGGTGAAGCCACAGAGACTGCACCGTACTGACTTCTCTAGAGAAAATGAGGGGCGGGGGTGGGGGGCAGGCCGAGGGAGAAGTGCTCTAGGAATGGGAGCAGCACACAGGTGGGGAGGGTAGATCCTTAAGGAAATGGATAATTAGTTGTATATGGCTGGAGCTTGTAGGGAGAGAGAAGAGGTGAGGGGGGTGGCTCATGTTAAGAGATCAGACAGGGGACTAGAGGTCAGATTAAGGAGAGTCTTTTATACCTTGCTGAGGTGTTTGAGTTTTATTTGTAGCCAGTGAGAGACCACTGAGAGATTTTTAAGCCAGTGAGTGACATGATTCTATTTTCATTTTAGAAGTATCCCTCTAATGTTGCATTTCTGAAGAATATCACTGCTTATCTATTTTATTGGTTATTTATTACAAGTTTAAGGGTCTAAAATAACACACATTTATTATCTCACAGTTTCTTTGTAGCAGTCATGCACCCATAATCATATATATGCCATCTCTTTGCAATATTGTGTTGGTTAGAAGCAAGTCAGAGGTCCCATCCACACTTGAAGGGGAGATGACTGTACAAGGTAAGATTCTAGAAGTATTCAGAATTACACTGGAAAATATGTATGTTCCCACCCACAGTTAGCCAGAGTTTGAGAGCACAGTCTCCCAAACCATCCTCATTTCTTATACCAACTGAAAGTTTGGGGGGTTCCCCAAACTACCCTCACATTTGATAATTTTCTAGGACTCATGGAACTCACTGAAAACCATTCTATTCATGGTTACGGTTTATCACAGGGAAAGAATACACATAAACATCAGCCAGAGGAAGAGACGCATTGGACAGAGTCCATGAGGGTTCCAAGTGCAGAGCTTCCATTGTTCTTAGGATGCGTTACCCACCCAGCATTGATGTATGACAAGGAATATGGGTATTGCCAACCAGGAAAGCACTACTGAGCCTCACAGTTCAGTTTTTACTGGGGCTTCATTACATATGCATGATCAATTGAGTATCCCACATGGTTGAACTCTGCCCCCAGGTTGACTGATACTATATGACACATCCTAAATCACATGGTTGTCTTTCTGGCATGGCCAACCTAAGACTATTTGGTATGGCCCGTCCCACCCTAAGATTGGATGTGTTAACCCCCATTCTAAACAAAGATAGAGATTACCTCCTAGAAGCTGACAGCAAAACCCAAACCCCTCTTTGGTGTCAAATTCTTTACTACATAGTTTCCAGTATAAAATATGTTTCAAAGTTAGATTGTTTTCTACTCCAGAAGGAACTATTGTGTCCTGGTAGAAAGCTGTTTAGCTTTCACTGAACAGTAATAAAAGATGAAAGCTAAGGCTCAAGAGCATGCATTTATCCAAAATTGAGAGGGTTATCTCTGTGGAGTTCTTTTTGGTGACCCTGCCACATTATCCTTGGTATCTTTATAGGGTTTTATATCTTTGAAGGTGTCCCAGAATTTTGCCTTGTGTAGTCATCTCCCCTTCAGTGTGGGAATGACCTCTGACTTGTTTCTAATGAACATTCTAGGATTTTATGGGAAGTCTATGATTTGAATCTCCGTCTCAAATCTCTGCTTATGCCTGAAGCCTAGTTGTTTGGTCAAATGAGAAAAAGATGTAGTTGTTTGGTCAAATGAGATAAAGATGCAAACCCAAGTACTTCCTGGACTAAAGGCTTAAGTTTAAAGGGAGGGGAATTATGACTCAATATAAAGAAGGGTTAATGTTAAAAATTTATCATATTTGTGATTTTAATTTTTCTGAGTAGTACATAAGTCTAGGTATAATAAATTTGCAACCTAAGCATGCAAGGACAGACATATCCATAAATGCCGTGTTATTTACTTGCTAGGCATACCAGGTTATACTTATTTAGGAAATTGGAACGTGTAAGAAACTTTGGATTTTTAGCGGTTATGATTTAATTTTGTTTCCAGCTGCTGTTATTCTTTATTTGTAAGATTTAGAAAAGATGTATTTGGAATCAGGAAATTGGGGTTTTAGTTCTAGCTTTCAATGGGTCATATGAATCCTTTGCTATAGTAAAAGTATACAGAAGAGACAGGTTTATTTCTTCTGTTTTTTCCCCATGGAATTGGTTTAGTATGTTACGTAATATGCATACATCTGCATTTTGGGTTAGTGGTTCCAACTTGAGGAATAAAGTAAAAATGTATAGTTTTCAGGTAATATTTAAACACATGCTAAACATTCTCAACCAGCATTATTATAAGCAAATTTATTAAATATCCTTTATTTTTATTTCCTTTCTAATATGTTTGCTAATTAAGCTTGGGTTCATCGTATGATTTGGATTTATTTGTTAGTGGTCACAAACACACACAGTTCAGCCTCAGAGCTAATATAGCTAATACCTTGAAGTGTAAATGAGAAAATTGATGAATTTTCATCTTTTTCTTTCCTGATATAAATATATCATCTGGTTTTGTTTGCAGCTCTGGTAGGAGGTAGAACTTTATTCTTCCATCCTCCTAGGGAAAGCATTGGTGGTTATTTGTTTTGTTTTCTTTTTAATGAGAAATACTTGGGGTAGGCATGAGTTCCTCTGGACATTTTTGAGTAACAAAAGATGGTTGTTAACCTGCCTCCTTACTTGGCCCTGCAGCTGGAGGACATTTTGTGATGTGTTTATATATACATGCCTTTAAAGGGAGAGCAGAGGTGACCTCTTCTTCCTAATAGACAGGAAGAGTTTGACTACTCTAGCCAGAGGAGCCAGGCAGCCAAGTGCCTTTTGAGGGATGGAGGGAACTCTGCTTCCCACCCTTGTAGGCCATCTAGAGGTGCTTTGGAAGCTGAACCATCAAATAATGACTTGGAATATGTTTGTGGTGGGTATATGATTTAAGCTCCCTCCTCTCTCTCCCTAATGAAATCTTTAGTAAATTCTGTCTTGTTTACTAGTCTTTTGTACAAGTGGAACCTTGCAAGGAACCTGAAAGATGCTAACTCCATTCTAGAGGGTCCCCGAGAGAGCGCCAAGGAATGCGAAGCACAGCTGATGGCTGGGGGCACATGTATCCAGTGGGCTGCTGGGCTGGACATACTGCAGTAATTACTGCTTGTAGGGTACCTGTAACTGGCATGCAGTTTGTTAAATGCTTTGGTATGTATACTATCTCTACTTGTCCTTATAATAGCCCTGTGAGAACCACCTTCCTTACAGAAATGCAGAAAGGGAGGCTTCAAGAAGTAACTTACTCAGAGTCATCTTGCTTAGTTACATGTGTGAAGTCAGGCTTCTACCAAGGTATATCTGATTTCAAGTTCCTTGTTACGAACTGCTAAACTGTGCAGGTTTTTTCTTCACTAAGCCTATTCATTGAAGATTAAAATGTATTTTCATTTGTCAATTTAGGAGGAGATAAAAATAGGTGCTCCAGAATTCTGAAAATTTGGAGGGTTTTAACTGTGCAAGAGGTGAAATAAGTAATTACCACATCTTTATATTAATCTCACCATAGGACCTGTTTTCTCCACTCTTGCCAATCAGTCCCTACTCACACATCAAAGTACCACCTCTTTGAAGCCTTCAACTGCTTCACATCCTGGCCAGAAATAAAGTCGGCATATCTGTGTTGACATCGTGTTTCAGTTACTGCCACGTTGTATTTCTTTCTTCCTTTTGTTAGAGTGAGTTATTAGATTTTATTGTCTCTGTTAAATTTTTAAATAACAGCTTTATTGAAATAATTCACATCTCATGCAATTCACTTTTTTAAAGTGTACAATTCAATAGTTTTTAGTATTTTCAAACTTGTACAATCATCACTATAATCAATTTCAGAATATTTTCATCACCCCCAAAAGAAAGACTCTATCCATTGTCAGTCATCCCCCAGTTTCCCTTTATTCTCCTGCCCCCCAACCCCAGGCAGCCAATAATCTTTCTGTCTCTATAGACTTGTCTCTTCTAGACATTTTATATAAATGGAATCATACAATAGGTGGTCTTCTGTGACTGACTTCACTAGCATAATGTCTTCATGGTTCATCCATGTAGTAACATGTATCAGTACTTCATTCCTTCTTTTGGCTGAATAATTTTCCATTGTGTGGATATACCACATTTTGTTTATCCTTTCATCAGCTGAAGGACATTTGAGTGGTTTCCACTTTTTGGCTATTAATGAATAATGCTGCTATGAACATTTGTGTACATGTTTTTGTGTGAACATATGTGTTCAGTTCTCTTAGGTATATATCTAGGAGTAGAATTGTTGGATCATAGGTAACTAACTTTTTGAAGAACTGCCAGACTGCTTTCCAAAGCAGCTGCACCATTTGACTGCGTCACCAGCGGATTCCACTTTCTGTACCTGCTCATTAATACTTATTATTTGTCTGCCTTTTTGATTATAGCCATCCAGTGAATGTAAAGGAATATCTTGCTGTGGTTTTGATTTGCATTTTCCTGATGGCTCCTCATTAAATTTTAAATTGTTCTGGGTAAGAAATAGTCTTCTCTTTCTGATCTCCTAAAACACCAACAATATTTTCCACATATTAGCTCATAATAAATGTTTAAATTTATAACCCTATTTTTAAAAATTTCATTAAAGGGGGATATGGTCCTTAAAGTTTTTTACCTCTTTGGAAAATGTTCTCTACCCACATCACTATCGTTTTGCTCTTACCTTTACCCTCACACCTGTGTCTCATAGCGTCACAGGTGTACATATGTATTATGTTTGACCTCTCATTACTAAGCCCTGCATACCAAATGACTTGCTGAATGTTAATTAAATGAATGAATGAATGGAGTGTTGTTCATGTTCATTCTGGATTGTTGAGCTTGTCCCTGGGGACATGTGGGTGTTCTGTTTCCGCTACATGCTAATAACCTACTCAAAGATATAAAGAGCATTAGAGGCTTCATTTTAAACTGTCATCTCCAGAAAAATAGACTCACCACTAGACAACTGCTTTTAAAATATAGTTTTAATTTGTCTTTTTGCATACTATTTAAATTGTTACTGTTTGTTTGAGGGGTTTCCTGTGTAGGCAGTTCCAGATTTGTGTTTATTCCTTATCTGAGGAATTCTGTGAAATATTAGCCTGGTAAATCAAGAAAGTTCATCATAGAAGTTATACTTCATTATAAGGCATACTTAAAATGCTTCAAAATGATATATGATTTTTAAGGATTTAAAGAAGATATCAAAGCCTGTCATTCAAATTTCAAAGGAACTCTATTCAACTTTAACACTATGTAAATAAACATTGGCTGATATACATATATATTTCTAATATATTGTGCTAGGAAAATAAAAGTGTTAAATTATGTTGATATACTTTCTTGTGCTAACATTAACTTAACCTTGTGAACAGAGCAGTTATTTATTAGCAAATCTTTATGTAACTAAAACCTTTCTCTAGTGAATTTACTATAGAAACAGTGGAATGCAGTCAAGATTGTTTTGTACAATTGCTGAAATTTGCTAAAATATGAATTGTGATAAGATGATGTGGTGTTTTTTAGGTATCCAAATACAGGGCTTAAATATTTGTTGCTTTCGTGCTCTGAGAGAAAAACAAGACTAGTTGATTTCATAAGTCTGTGTGCCTTGCATCCTTAGTACGATAGCCTCTTTTGAAAATCAAGAATATCATTCTGTGCTCTAAGTGGTAGGACCAGCGGGTGGCTGTCATGGTGATGATATTCCAATACAAGTGTGAAAGCTTTTCTGGACATTAGGTCAAAAAATTAGTCTAGTCCTTAAATGAGTAGCTGCTGTTACATTAATGTAACCTTCTGGCATTTAAACACTATGTTCATAGTGATTTAAAGCACATGGCTTACAGTTCTTAGCTTCTAACACTACTTCTTACATCATTATTAGAAAAATTACTGTTAATAGAAGTGGTCATACTTGCTTTTTTTCTCAACATGATGATAATTTAATATTCAAAGTGTAGTTTTTGATTCCTACTTATCATTCTAATTTACATTTCTAAAGATTTATATCATTTTGAGTAAGTTCTAATCCTGTGTAATGATGCAAATGTTGTCAACAACCTAAATTCAACTTGATCTCATACTAGTACAGAATTCCAGGTATATTACTACGAGCTATGCATATTTAGTTAAATTTATACTGAATAATAAGATTTCGTGAAGTTATAAATGTATACCTATATAGTTTATTGCCATTCTTGACTTCCATAATAGTGAGGGTCAACATTTTCTTCTGTTCCTTCTTCTGTGGCTTCATGGTGATCATCGTGATCTTCACTGTCACCATCATCTTGAAATCTCCTGAAAACTTGGGTCTTCAGTTGTATTGTTTGACCATTAGTGCTTCTTTGTTCACCATAATAAATAGTGTGTATATGAGGGAAGCAGAGGAAAATGTATGAGCTTATTGGCTCTTTTAGCTTATTTTGATCTACACGAATGTATGTTAAATGATGGTAATGTAGTGGGTCAACAGATGGACACATCAATGTGACATTGATATCTGAAAAATACAAATTAAAAATTAATCCTGCTGTATTACATCCATAATCCTGTATTGAATTTTATTAAAATGTTTATGGGGTATAGTTTTATTAATTAAAATACTTGTAAGTGGAATTAGGTTTAATTATTTTTTACAGTAATCAAATAGTAAAATGAAAATGAAACTATAAATGAATTTTATATTATCAAAATAAACGATGTCTTCATTGGCTATTAAGTAATTATTTAAGTATTAAATAAATTATTTAAGTAATAAATTCTTAGTAGAAACAATCTCAAAAAGAAAAAAGTGAAAATCACCTATAGTTCTACTACTCAGGATCTCATATTTCTTTGTATACTCTACAGTACTAATTCTCAATGTTCAAGGTGATAACATTTAATAGAAAAGACTATAAACCTTGGAGTACACCTTTCTGTGGGGCCAATTTCTGCCATTTCCCTAGCCAGCTTCAAAGCAACCATTTTCAGCAATTTGTAAAGCATATGTTTTTAAAGATTTGTTCTTTAAAAGGTCAAAATACTCTTCTTTCTGTCTTTAAAAGACAATGATGCTCCTAATGAACTCAGTAAAGTTGCAGGATACAAAATTAATACACAGAAATCTGTTGCATTTCTATACACTAACAACGAAAGATCAGAAAGAGAAATTAAAGAAACAATCCAACTTACCATCATATCAAAAAGAATAAAATAACTAGGAATAAACCTACCTAAGGAGACAAAAGACCTATCTGTACTCCAAAAACTATAAGATGCTGATGAAAGAAATCGAAGATGATACAAACAGATGGAAAGATGTACCATGTTCTTGGATTGGAAGAAGCAATATTGTCAAAATGACTATACTACCCAAGGCAATCTACAGATTCGGTGCAATCCCTATGAAATGGCATTTTTCACAGAACTAGAACAAAAAAATCTTAAAATTGATGTGGAGACACAAAAGACGCCGAATAGCCAAAGAAATCTTGAGAAAGAAAAATGGAGCTGGAGGAATCAGGCTCCCTGACTTCAGACTATACTACAAAGCTACAGTCATCAAAATGGTGTGGTACTGGCACAGAAACAGACATATAGATCAATGGAACAGGGTAGAAAGCCCAGAAATAAACCCGCACACCTATGGTCAATTAATCTACGACAGAGGAGGCAAGACTATACAATGGAGGAAAGACAGTGTCTTCAGTAAATGGTGCTGGGAAAACTGGACAGCTACATGTAAAAAAATGAAATTAGAACATTCTTTAACACCATACACAAATTAAACTCAAAATGGATTAAAGACCTAAATGTAAAACCAGATACTATAAAACGCTTATAGGAAAACTTAGGCAGAACACTCTTTGACATAAATCACAGCAATATCTTTTCTAAGCCATCTCCTAGAGTAATGGAAATAAAAAAATAAATAAACAAATGGGACCTCATTAAACTCAAAAGCTTTTGCACAGCAAAGAAACCATAAAAAAAATGAAAAGACAACCTACAAAATGGAAGAAAATATTTGCAAACGATGCAACCGACAAGGGATTAGTCTCCATTTATAAAGAGCTCATACAACTCCATAACAAAAGACCAAACAACTTAGTCAAAAAATGGTCAGGAGACCTAAATAGACATTTCTCTAAAGACAACATACAGATGGCCAAGAGGCACATGAAAAGATGCTCAACATCGCTAATTATTAGAGAAATGCAAATCAAAACTACAATGAGATATCACCTCACACCAGTCAGAATGGCCATCATCAAACAATCTATAAACAATAAATGATGGAGACGGTGTGGAGAAAAGGGAACCCTCCTACATCATTGGTGGGAATATAAATTGGTACAGCCAGTATGGAGAACAGTATGGAGGTTCCTTAAGAAACTAAAAATACAGCTACCATATGATCCAGCAATCCCACTCCTGGGCATATATCTGGAGAAATCCATGGTTTGAAAGGATAGAGGCACCCCAAATGTCATTGCAGCACTGTTTCCAATAGCCAAGACATGGAAGCAACCTAAATATCCATCGACAGATGAATGGATAAACAAGATAGGGTACATATATATACAATGGAATATTACTCAGCCATTAAAAAAGAATGAAATAATGCCATTTGCAGCAACATGGATGGACCTGGAGATTATCACACTAAGTGAAGTAAGTCAGAGAAAGAAAAATATCATATGATATCACTTATATGCAGAATCTAAGAAAAAATGATACAAATGAACTTATTTACAAAACAAACTCACAGACTGAGAGAACGAACTTATAGTTACCAGGGGGGAAGAGTGGGGGAGAGGAATAGATTCGGAGTTTGGGATTGACATGTACAACAAGGACATACTCTACAGCACAGGGATCGCTGCTCAATATTCTATAATAACCTAAATGGTAAAAGAATTTGAAAAAGAATAGATACATGTATATGTATAACTGAATCACTTTGCTGTTCACCTGAAACTAACACAACATTGTTAATCAACTATACTCCAATATAAAATAAAAATTAAAAATAAATAAGTAAATAAATTAAAATTAAATAAATAATAAAAATAAAAACAATATACACAAAACAATGAAATTTTACATACTTTCAATTTCATTATTTTCTAGGTATAGGTGTTCTAAATTTCTTGGAATATAGAATGCTTGCTTCAGTTTGTTGTGTCCAACATTGAGCTCTATAAGGTTGGAAAGATTAAAAATATAATATGGGATGTCTTGTAGTTTATTGTGTGACATTCTTAGAGCATGAAGTTTTGGGAGTTCATTGAAGTAATTTTCTGGTATAGCAGATATTGAATTATTTTCTAAAGACAGATACATAAGTGAAGAAGGCAAACCAGGAGGCATTGATTCTAATCTGTTATTACATAGGTTAAGCTGCATTAGTTTTTCCATTTTCGCAAGGATTTTTTCTTGTAATGTAGAATCATCAATTTGATTGTAACAAAGATCAAGCATGGTCAAGTTTACTAGCCCATTTACAGCATTTGTCTGCAGTCTGGAGATCTGATTGTAACCAAGAAGAATCCTTTCCAAAGACTTAGGGAGAGGAAACGGAAAGTCTTCTAAATTGTTATGCTGTAGGTGGAGTTGTAGTAGATTTGACAATTTGGCAAACACACCATGATCAATATTTTGAGATTTAATTTTGTTGTGGCTGAGGTTGATTTCTTTAAGATGAGTGGCATTGATGAATGAATCTGCAGTCACAACCTCAATTTCATTAAACTGAAGATAAACTTGCTGAATGTATGCTGGAATATTTGGGATAGTCTTGAGTTTGCGATTATCACAGTACATTGATGATGGAAAGTTAGGTGGACAGAAGCATTCACTGGCACAACCTAAAGTATGCTGATGAAATGGAACTCCATAATCTTCATTTCGATGAAATTGGAATTCTGGTTGGTAGACATCATCTGGTTCTTGGTCATAATCTTCATCCCATTGATAACTTTCATACTGGCAATATACTTTGACTCCAAGAAAGAAGAAAAGGACACACACTGGACTTGAAAAGCCCATGTTCCTTTTTTTGTCCTATTACAAGGCAAAAAGGAAATATATTGTGGGAAAAGTGAGTAAACTTAGAATAATTTGTATATAAATTGACAGTTATATAAAATGCATAATATCTCTATCTGTATTGAAATATATAAAAGAATGTCCAGAATTAATGGGTACTGCTCAGACCAAAATTAATGTATAAGGTGGTATTTTTTAAAATGTCACATACTGCATTGAACCAGACTAAGTAACCATCTTTTAAGAGAATCTCGATTTGTCTTGTTTACTAGACTATAGATTTACAATGATAGCATGACATCTCTCCACCCCAAAGCCAAATGCTCTTTCCATATAAATGCTGGATGTTCTCACTGACTATTTGGCCCCTTCAGTGATGTTTACTGCCTATGAGAAGAGAGACTCTATGTTTTAGTTACTTAGGAGATTCCTGATATTAACCAAAATTTTCCCACTGCAACTTTTGTTTGCTGATGTTCTTTTCTGCTCTTTGGAAGAACATAGAACACTCCATTTTACGTGAAAGCTTGAGATATTAAAAATAACTATCATGTTTCCTCTTAGTGTTTTCTGTCCAAGACTAACTGTGACTTCAAATTTTCCATGTGAAATAGTTTGCAGAATCCAATTATTTTGTCTCTGACTCTACTTGAATAACTACTTTAAATCACAAACACACACAATATTTACATTCTACAAAATTAGTTTCTAATTGGTTATTCTATACATTTTTCCTATTACCTTCCTAGCTTCTTTCTTTCCACTGATATTTTGGAGTTAATTTCTGGATACACAGATATTAAAAACACACTGTCCTGTCTCCCAGGAGTTTAGGTCTTAGTGGAGAATCAGATGATGACTTTGCCTCTTTTTTCACCAAGAAAATAGAATAGACAATCATTTACTCTAATATATTGACTTCTATTTAATCTTATCCCTTCCTACATAAAATGCCAAAATGATAATGGTTTCATCTTTTAAACAGTATTGATTTTGAAATTCATAAAGTTTCCTTTTGCAAATTAAATAGACTCCATCCATTGTTCCTTTTTATCCATGTGATTCATGAAGGACATGGCATTTGCATTAGACTTTGAAGGAATGTGAGGGTTCTCACAGAGGGAAATAGGGAAGATTTGCAGCTAGAAGAGATGAGCAAAAACATGTAAGCAACAAAGGGTGAGATGTTTGGGATGTGGTGGTTAACTGTTGAAGGAGCACAGTAAGACTGTTACAGCCAATCTCAACCAGAACCTAGAGGCCTAAATTGTGACCTCAGGAATTTGCACTCTGGGAATGAACACCTAGTTTACTTCATTAATATAGCTGAGCCATAATCTTCACACTGCAGTGTTCATGCATCAAGTAAGATAGAGTCCTGGGAGGAGAAGTGAAAGAGTATGGTCTCATCCCAAAGGGCAGTGTTCAGTGCTGGCTGACGCAGACAGGGCACTGGGAAGCTCCCAGTGGGTATGATTAGGAGTGCTTTTTCACCTGCTATAATTAGTGACCCTGTACTGGATGTTGTGTGTGGACATAGTTAGAAAAGAGCCTTGCAAATATTACTAGTGATTTAGTTAGTTTGATTGGGTTACTTGATGATTGTCTCGAATTTTAGAGGTGAGGCACTGTGCTTGGTGGGAAATACAGAAATGAAGAAAATATGAAGACATGAGCATACAATTTAGTGCATACAATTTAGTAGACAAGAGAGGCACAGCACAGTGAACCATATTCTCAGGCAGAGGGAAATATGGTTTGCAGCAGAGATACCAGTGCTGTGGGAACCAGTGTCTTAACCCTGCTTGCGGGAGACAGGGAAACTTTTGCAGACATCATTTGGCCAAGACTTCGGGAGATTCACAGGAATGGGTATAGAACACCCTATACATATTACTCTCTAGTTGATAATATTTTATGTATTAAAATTATAGTATTTTATACTCATTATACTATAACATATCAACTTTTTTTTTAAGTGCTTGTCATACTTCATTTAAAGTACTGCACCATGGAGTTGAGATGAAATTAGAAGCAGAGGCAGAGACATGCAGCTGTGCAGGGTCAGGCCATGTAGGGGGTCTCAGAAGCTGACTGATACACAGTTGAACTTTGAAAAGAGTACTGCTCATCAGAACTCTGAATTTTATCCTTGTGTTAGAACATCAGTAATCATCAGTTAGTAATCTTACATTTGAGAATTAAAGTCATGACTGTTCAACAACTACAAGAAATTGTTGGGAAAAAAGGAGACCTGGATGATACTTTTGGTTCAGCACTTACCTTTGCCTAGGAATCAAGACCTCATGACGAAGGCCTCTCTGAAAATAAAGGGATTCTTAGTATTATCTGCTTTTGGTCTTCTTGGCCGCCTAAGAAGAAAGGTCTTTCCCTGAAGACAGTTTCTCTTCTAAATCTGAGCTCATCATCATTGTCCTCATCCACTGAGGACCTCGGCCCTCTAGCTCAACCTTGTCCCACTCCCTTTTCAATAAGTGCTGTTTTCTGGTCTAAAATCCATTCCATCTCCACTGATATACCCATTATTTTCTATTTTTCTTACTCCTCAACTTCACCCCTGATCATTTTCCCTGTTATAGTGCTCTCTTATTTCTTTTTATCCAAATTTTTCATTCAGCTAATCTTTTACCAGCCATTTGCAAGGCATACTTTTATTACTTCTGCCTTTTATGTTCGGCAATTTATGCCTTGTCTCCTATAGGATAACTCATAGCAAAACATTATAACTCACTGTCAATCATCTCATTTCTCAACCTCTAATTTTTGACAGACTCTAGTACAATGCACAGTTTGTAAGTGCTCACAGATTTGTTGAATGCATGATTGATTTTTTGTTATAGATTACATCTTGTTAGTGATGTTTATTGCTAGTAATGTTGATTATTTCTAGGCATTTATTTCACCACAGTGATTTCTCTAAATGAACATTTTCACAGAGAACATGGCTATTCTATTTTCTATTGAATATTTCTGTCACAATATACTGTATTCACTTTCCTACCTGTATTCCTTACCTTGTTTAGTAGAAAAATCACAAATGTGAAAAAGAAAGTTTAAGGCAAACTGAAATATGTTACCAGGTTTTTAAAATTACTCATTAATATGAATTTTTCATATTATAGCTAAAAAAGTTTCTATGTCATAACATTTCTCTTACCTGGAAAAAAGCACTCGTGCTTTCATCAAGAAAGTTCTAATTTAAATTACTAATCAAAATGAGGTGAAACTTTGTCCTAGGAAGTTTAAAGTAATTGGAAAGCTTCATAGCATTTTATTATTTTAAAAACTTAATTGTTTTATTGGTATGCCACAGAAACTAAAATATAAGAAACCAAGTATTAGGATATGATTCAGAATTTTTTCCAAAGCAGTTTTAAATTTAACCCTGTAAAATTAAAGTTGTGTACATCACTGTCACACACAAGGCCTAAGGAAGTAAAACTCTTTTGCTATTAAAAATATGAAAGTCTCAAAATTATTTTTAGCCATAATACATTTGGATCTTAATTAACTAAAACCCAAGAAACTAGAACATTCAGTGCTAGATAGAGTACTTGTATTTTCTCTTTGAGGAAGAGGCAAACACATCGTAACATCAGGGATTTGGTTAATAAAGAAATTTTGAGAAAATTTCTAGTGAAATTTGTACAAATGCCCATTTCTCTAAAACCAGAATCTCTAGCATTGCTCAGATGTATGGCTCAAAGGCGTTCGCTGGTTTTTTGTCACTTAAAGTTGAGAGAGAGAGAGAGGGAGAGGGAGAGAGAAACAGAAAATTATTCCATTAACGTGAGAATCTTTCATTCAAAGTAAAAAAAAAATCTAAACAAAAATCATTTATTGGGTAAATCTTAAGTTAGAAAATTAAATTCCTATATTATTTCCCTGAATATTTTTGCTAATCAAATTTTAATGTAGCTTTCACCAGATATTGTTTATAAAAATGTGCATTTATGATGGCTACAATCTATTTTAATGTTAAATCAAATATATTTTAAACAGTAGGAATATTTTCTTTAAAAAATGAAAATTATTTTATCATCATACCTGTTGAGTTTGCTTTAGTTTTCAGGGGCTGATGAATTTGCAAATCCTGTAAATGAATCAGAAATTCCTAAATTCTTAAACTGAATCTCTTAAAAATCCACAGTAACTGTGTGTCCAGGCAGGGCTGTCCCTTGAATTGCTATAGCAATTTAAGCAAATATAATCTACTTGGAAAATACTTGGGTTGAATTAAAATTATGTATTTCTTTTCATTATCCAAAACTTTGTGGACTCAAATTAAAATGCTTGTGTTCTTGGTCAGATTTATGTGGCTTACTTCTTTCTTTTCCCCTTAATTTTGGTTTGAGGTATGGCAAGAATTTCCTCTAGTATGAAAGGCAAACAGAACTAAATGAAACAGCATGTACTGATTACTGTTTTTATTTTCATTTTCATGCCAAAGAATTCTTCAAAGTGAGGTCCACTGTAACATGGAGCTCAGTGTCTTGGCATTTTAAGGTGGAACTCAGAGTCATCTTGAGACCTCGGTTGTCTGATACCGTGTATTCACACCAGTGCTTCCCTTTATTAAGACAAGGAACCAGGATTAGAAACATACAGCATTTCACATCTAGTTTATTTTAAAAATGAAATAGATGGTCATTAGTGACACAGATTAAATATATCACTTTTCCATACAAAGAAGTATACCTTCTTTTCTATCAGCTATCCCCTTTCTCACCTTCCTCCCAAATACATCCACTAGCATGTGTTCTAATAACCTTTGAAATAAAATTAATCTCTTAGTTATGGAATTCACTCAGAAGGTATATCTCTGATTTGTCTGTTTTTACTAGTACAAAAAAATAATTTTATAGTATTGAATAAGATGGAATTAGGAACTTCTGTTGACCAGCTGTTATTGCTTTTATTTTGCAGATGTAGAAAATTTACAAATTTCACTGAGCTGTCTCTCTTGAAGAGTGGCAGTTAACTACTTAAATGCTATATTTTTATACCAATATTTTCATATTTTAAACAGAGTTAACTTGTATCTCTTGGCAGTGAACTTTGAGTTCATTCTTTAGGAGATTCTTTCAAGCTTGTACAAACTAATAAGGTAAAGTGATTCCTGGAATTTGTTTTTGTTTCCTAAAAATAGTATTTTCCATTAGGTTTTCATAAAGAATGCACAAGATTTATTTCGTTATACTTCAGATTTTTAAAAAGTGTACAGTGTTTCAAGAGATGTTTTGGCAATACTGTAAAAATCTCATCTATTATTTGAGACAGTGGTATGTAAAACGTGGCAGACCATATTTGGGCCAAGATTTCATCTTGTTACTGATCTTTTCCATATGTTTCCTTTTAGTGTTTGTTCTTAAAACTCAGACTTCCGTGCTAAGGAAAAGAGAGCAAATCTGTACTTTTTCCAAAAGTCATTTTACATGCCCTCACAGTTCTTTTGGAAGGTTAATGTAAAATTAACAGCTTAATTTTTATTAAATTCTTCTTTTAACTCTGTGATTTGAACTTATGATAGTGATTATGTTGTTCATGTTCCTAACAAATGTGAAAATATTTATCAATAGATAGCTAGAACCCTCAGAGTTGAAAGTGTCTAGGAAATTTAAATAAGGTTGATGGTGTCTAGGAGGTTTAGGTTTGGCAGGGGGTGGGAAGGGTGGTTTGAGTCAGGCCTTAGAGGAAAACTAGAAGCTGCAAGTGATTGTGATAGTTCACTGTTTCAGTTGGTGGTTATTTTATTTTATTTAAAAATTGTTTTTAATTTTATTTATTTATTTTTGGCTGTGCTGCACTGCTTGCGGGATCTTAATTCCCTGACCAGGGACTGAACCCTCACCCTCGGCAGTGAAAGCGCAGAGCCCTAACCATTGGGCCACCGGGGAATTCCCTCAGTTGGTGATTATAACTGTAGCAATTAGGGAGAGAAGTCAGTTGAGTTGGTGAAAGTCTAAATTATATTCTATGATTATAATTTGACTGAAGTAGATAAACTATCTCGGAGCCAGATAACTAGTGCTGGCTAGGAAAGGTCTGACTGAGACTGGTAATTATGGTAATAAACCATAATAAAGATTTTTAATTCATTTATTCACCCAGCTAATATTTGTTGAGCACCTACTTTGTTCAAGGCAGTTTTAGGTGCTGAGAACCCAGCAGTAAAAGTCCCTATTATCACTGAAGAGGAAGAGAGAAAATAAACATATCAAGTGGTGTGGAGTGCAATGGAGAAGAACAAAGCAAGGCAGAGGGGTAAAAATGAACGAGCACAGGGGTTTAAGTCAATAGTTCTGACACTACTGTGATGTATGCTGGAAAGGAATGGTTATGTAACTGTGTGGTGAATGGGGGAGCCAGGTGTCTCACCGCTGGAAGGAGGTTACAGATAAGCAAGTGGAGGTGGTGGGAATGAAAGGCTATGGTTGTTTTAGATCTCATTAATACTTGACATTATCTAACTTTCCCCCCAATTTTTAGGTATATGATGGTATTACTTGTGATTTTAATTTCCGTTTCGCTGATTACTAAAGAGGTTGAACATTTTTTCAAATGTTTTTCAGCCATTTGGATTTTCTCTTCTGAGGTATGCCTGTTAATGTTTTTGCTCATTTTTCTGTTGTGTTATTTGTCTTTTTCTTATTTATTTTTAGGGGTTTTTTATATGTTTATGGACACCCATTTTTTGTTATATGTGTGACACTGTCATCATTTTTCAGTTGATTCTCTTGGGTTTTTCAGGTTGATTCTCTTGGGTTTTGCATACGAATCATATGCAAATGATATTGTACCTTCTTTCTAATTGTTTTTGAGAGGATAGCTCTTATTTCAAGAAGATATTTTGCAAATCTTTACTCTTCAGACAATTGGACTGTTGCTTTGTGTTTCTCTCGGTTAACTCCTAAGTAAACCACATGAGATAAAAGTACAATTCAAATCAATAAGCCACATGATAACAAAACTGGAAGACATCATAGAAACTTCATCAAATAAGGAGGTATAGAGAGAAGAATTTAAAAAGACCAGCATACAACCAGCCACAGATGGCAAAGAGAGAGCAAGGAAGCACTCAAAGGCTCATGGAGAAGCCAGTACTTTCCACCCTCACAGAGTAAAGTTCCAAGATAATATACACAATTAAAAAGTAGTTGTCTATATAATCCGTTAAATTTTTTTTTTTTCCACTGACTGGGACTGGGTACAAAACAATAGCGTTTTCAGACTCAGGAAAGGGTGATAAGATGTGTTTCCCTTTGCCAAATTAATGGGAATGCCAAATTAATGGGAATATTTTCTTTTCTGTTAAAGGAGAGGGTAGGCCATGTGGATCCAGGAAGCAGAATTCCTATTACTTATGTTTACTCAAGTTAACAGTTATTAAGGAAATTTTTAGGAGAGGGTTATACAGGAGTGAAGTACTGACACATACTGAAATTTTTAGGAGAGGGTGGCAAGGTTCTGGGATGGGTATGTCTGCTTGGTGGAGTGAGTGAATGAATGGATGTTTGCTGGATGAAGTGGGAGTATGAACTGGGAACGGGCACGGAAGAACCTTTTGGAGTGATAGAAATCTTTTATATCTTGATCTGCTTTGAACGAATGGTGCTAAGACAACTGGAACACATGCAAAAATTTACTGAAAATGGAACAAAGACCTATGTGTTAGAGCTAATATGGTTAAATTTTAGAAGAAAATATAATGTTAGTCATTATGACCTTGGGTTAGGCATCAGTTTCTTAGATGTGGCACTAAAAGCACAAGAATCAGAAGAAAAAATAGGTAAATTGGATGTCATTAAAATTTAAATTGTTTTCTGTGCCAAAAGATACTATCAAGAAAGTGGAAAAAAAAAACCCACACATGGGAGAAAAATTTTGCAAATCATATATCTGATTAAGAACTTGTGTCTAGAATAAATAAAGAACTCGTACAACTCAATAATAATAATATTAAAATGAGTGAAGGATCTGAATAAATGTTTCTTCAAAGATAACAAATGGCCCACAAACACAAGAAAAGATGCTCAACATCACTAGTCATCAGGAAAATGCAAATCAGAGCCACAATGAAGTACCACTTCACATTCTCTAGGATAGCTGAAATAAAAAATATGGACAATTACAAGTGTTGGTGAGGATGTGGAGATTTTGGAATCTACATATATTGCTGATGAAGATTAAAAATGGCACAGCCACTTTGGAAAACAATCTATAGTTCCTCAGAAAGTTAAACATAAAGTTACCATTTGACCCATCAGTTTTACTCCTAAGTATATACCCAGGAAAAGTGAAGACATATGTTCACACAAAAACTTGAATGCACATATTTATAACAGCCAGAAAGTAGAAACAACTTATATGTTGATCAGTTGGTGAATGGATGAATAAGTGTGGTCCATCTATACAATAGAATATTACTTGGCAATAAAAAGGAGTGAAGTACTGACACATGCTATGACATGAATGAACCTTGAAAACATTATAAGTGGAAGAAACCAGTCACAAAAGACCACATATTATGATTCCATTTATATGAAATGTGCAGAATAGGCAAATTGATAGAAACAGTGGATTTGTGGTTACCTAAGGCTGGGAGTAAATGACATTAATCAGGACAGGGTTTCTTTTTGGAGTGATAAAAATGTTCTGAAATTGATTGTGGTGATGGCTGCTAAGCTTGAATATTAAAAACCTTTGAACTGTATACTCTAAATGGTAAATTGTACAGTATGTGAATTATATCCACAATAAAGCTGTTATTAAAAATAATAGCAATGGGAGTTTAAATGAATAAAATTGGCTTAAGTTGATAATTTTAAAAACTGAGTGAGAAGTAGATGAAAGTTCATTGTAGTGTTTTGTCTACTTTTGCTTCTATTGAAAATTTTCCTTAATAAAAAGGAAGTCTCTTTTTTACATTTGGTAGTGTATATATGTCCATGCCAAGATAGCTAGTGGGAAGCAGCCACATAGCACAGGGAGATCAGCTCGGTGCTTTGTGACCACCTAGAGGGGTGGGATAGGGAGGGTGGGAAGGAGACGCAAGAGGGAGGGGATATGGGTATATATGTATACGTATAGCTGATTCACTTTGTTATACAGCAGCAACTAACACAACATTGTAAAGCAATTATACTCCAATAAAGTGTTAAAAACTAAAAATTTTTTTTAAAAAAAGGAAATCTCCAGCACTCAAACTGCAAGTTTTAATATTAGGAATTCATACGACTGATTGCACCTTCCATGTAGAGCTGGCATGGCACATGCTTTTGCCCCTTGGCCTAATTTG